GCTTAAGAGGATATTTAAGATAAATTTGGAAGAGTGAATGGAGCTAACCAAGTGAACTAAAAAAATAAAATGCAATAAAAATCAAAATCAGTGCTGGTGGGGACAATTCTGAATGCACTCACACTAATTTTTTGAAATCTCCCAAAGAAGTCAAAAGATTCAAAGAAAAATCATGAATGGTATTATTAGCAGAAATGGCAATCTAGAAGAAATTATTATTGAACAGATATCTACCTTTTCATATCAATACAAAACATCAAAGTTCTTTAATTTTTTTTTAAAAAGGGCAAAATGTAGAAATGTAGCCTTAATATTCTCTTCCAACAAGGCGTCTTCTATATTTATCATATAATATTCCTTGGGAGATGCAATCACAGATAATTCTGTTCAACAATCGCAACTGTCAATATCAAGCAAGGCATAAAAAAGGATGTCCAAGTATCAAAAGGTGTTAGTTGCTGTCAGAGAGGATGTTTACATAAATTTCAAATGGAAAATTCTCTAGAGATTGTTAGGGTCTTTTAAACGTTCCTATTTATAGATTAAATTATGCTGATTATATCAAGCTCCACAATATCACAAGCCTCCTCAGTGAAATCTTCAGTCACTTAAAGGAGACCTGTCCAACTTTTCACATAGGAAAGTCCAAGTGAATAAATAATATGCAGTCAAGGCTTGACGTGCCTTGGTGGTGACCCATCAAGTTAGTCTAGCAATACATGCATCTGGGACAGTCACTAAAGATGAGCCGGGTCCAGAAGTGAAAAAGAGATAGAGTTTGAGAGGCTGGATTGCCTTTAGGAAACTGAACAGTACTATCAAAGATCTCAAGATCCTCCTTGACATAAAACCCTAGTTTTAATACCAACACTCTCCTGATGAAGTTATATTATGGTAGTAAATCATGAAATGCCACATCATCCAAAGACTGAAATTGTGGGAAAATCAGAGGACCAACAAAGCTTGCATTTGAGATGTGGTATAAATACATCAAAAAAATATATTATGAGAAAAGGAAGCCAGCCAGTCACATAGTAAAGCTAAGAGATGACAGGTGGACAATCTGAGTGCTGGTACTAACAAAGAAGAAATGTTCTGATGCCTCCTCTATTAGTGGATTAGTTACAAATAATTTATCAAAGTATATATACGGCAACACCAATCAGCCAATCAATTGGCTAAACAAATTGTGGTACACGAATGTTACGGAACCCTATGGATGTAAGAAACAATGAATACAGAAAAGTACATAAAGATCAACACAACTGCTGTAGAGTGAAATAAGCTTAACCAAGACAACAATACACATAATGCCTACAACGATCTAAACAACAATAAAACAAAAAAGAAATCCAAAGTGAATGATGCAAAATTAAAAAAAAACAAACAAACAAAACAAGCAAGGCTCCACAGAAAGAGGATGTCTGGATGGGCAGTCCACAGTGTTGGTCACAGCATATACTTTCAGACCTTCTGGATATTCTGTTTGGTCTTGCTGATCCACACCCCCCACCCCCGTTTTCCTCTTTTTCTTTAGATTTGTTATAAGATAGCTCTCTGGGAGGGGGTAAGGAGAGAGTTACTAGGAGAAAACAAGATTATTGGTAGAAAATTTATGTTAGTTTATTTTTAAAAAGAACAAGAGTGAGAATCCTACTATGGTAAAGGGGTAGATGGACTGGTGGAAAAAGGACCCACCCAGCTAAGAATATGGATCCACAGAAGAATAAAGGCATTTTTACATTCAGAAACTCACGCCAAGTCTTGTGTTTTGGTCTATATAATTTTCTTTTATAAAAGACCACACACCCAACAGCCAAAACTATAATTTGTGGAGAACAATGAGGGCTGGAATAGTTACAAAAGTTTCATGAAGGAAGTAGGGTTTAACCTGGGCCTTGATGGAAGGGTAGGAAAGCAGAGATGAGGGAACAAACAAAGCAAGTTCACTGGCTCAAAGAAGAGATCAGAACATCCATACCAGACAGTGTGGGCTAGAAAAAGATAGTAAACAGAGCCAAAGGATCTTAAAATTTACACAGAAGGTAACAGTGAACTATTGCAAATTTTATTGTTGTTTTTTGTACAGGGGAATGACATCAGAAGCAGTATGTTATGGTGGATTTGGATTAACAATGGATTTGGAGTTAAAAGATTTGGATCTGTTTCTAGATCTATTACTACCTATGTGCTTTTGGTTCAATCTCTTCATGTCTCTGGGCCTCAGGTTTCCTCATCAATAAAATGAGAGGGTTGGTCTCAATTACCTCTAAGGTCCTCTTTTCAGGGTCTAAGTCTATGATCCCAATGAATGTGTTAAGGTAGATTAGTCAGTGTTACTCTGAATCAGAATTGGATTTTAGTTTACTTTTAAGTTTACAAAGCGCTTTATATACAGTGTCTCAACAATTCTATGAAATGGGTACTACAGGCATTATCTTAATTTTAAAAATAAGGAAATGGAGGCTCAGACAAACAAAATGACTGATTTATGGTTACGTGCTCATGTCACATGTAAAAAGGTTTGAATCCGGGTCTTCCTAGCTCCAAGTTCAGCAATCTATCCACTATGCCAGGCTGCCTTTAAAGTAAATTGGGAGGAAGGAAGGGACAGGCAGGAGAGGAGTGAGAAAAGAGGAAGAAATACAGTAAGATTTATATAAGATTATACAGTATAAATTCAGAAGTGAAGCAACATAAAATTATATTATTTTTTCAGTCCAGTGTGTGGATTTTTGTTTTGCTTATCTATATTTATTTGTTAGTGACTAGCCTAGGACTACATAGCTAGAAGTGAGGAAAAAATAGGTCTTTCAATCTTTGTAATCAGTACATTGAAGAGCTAGATGTAAAGTAGTTTTAGATCCTCAGTGGAGACTGTCAATTCGCACAAAGAACCAATAGCCAAGCCATGAACTGAGAGGAAAAAAAACACTGGAGAAGGATGGAACAATGTCCAAACTTTTACTTCAAACATCAGCCTTAAGGCTGACTGGCATGAATTAATAAAGAGAAACTCCCAGAGGATATCCCAATAAAACAAATGAATATTCTAAACACATGCAATCACAAATGCCTGAGAACTGGCACAAAAACCCTCTTGCTGTTTCTCTATTTTCTAATTTCTTCCTCGTCTCTGCTCTGCAGTACTAGTTAGAAATGAAATGTGGCTTCTCTAGTTTCTTTTCTCTTTAATAGTCTAGTCTAGATGTCTTATTTTCTTCAGAATAGGAATAGTTTCAGGCTGGAGACCACATCTGGCTTGCTTTCAATGTTTCAACCTCTGTCTACAGCCATTAATAATTTATATTTACATGGTCATTAGTGTTTATTTATCCAAATGGGTTTAAATTTCTAGCCATTAGTCCACATCTGGATTAATCCAATAGCTTCCTTCATTGATATTCTCTCTTGGGTAGTCCCACAGGAAACAAAGACAACACAACAACAAACAATTAAACCAAAGCCCCATCCCTGGGGAAAAAGCGTAATTCCTTCCACCGCTCACAAACATCTTCAAAACAAAAAGAGCAGAACTGATTCTGACACAAATGTAAGCACATCTAAATTTGACCCAGCACCACTTCAAGAACCCTTTATTTCATTGGTGTTAAGTAACAACTCATGACATGGACTGTGATCCTTCTAGAGGTCAGCAGTGTGTCTGAAGAGTCATTGTGGCTGAATGTTCTGGCCAACATGGGAAATGAGTTTTTCTGTACTTAATGACGCTTGTTCACAGAAAACATAAATGAAGTGCCTCCCTGGGCTGATGTTCTAAGCCTTCCACCTGGGGAGAATATGCTCAAGCTGACATGGCCTTTAAGAACCTTAGGGTCACCTTTGAACCACAATGAGGCAACAGCAAGGACTTAGTACAGAAGGATTAAATTAGAACTTTGCTTTTTCAAAACACTATCACAAGGTACTAAAGCAACAAAGCTTTCCAGGAAAGCCCTCTGCAGGCAGGTTTATTTATGTGGGACAAGAGAATCTGGCTCTTGTTCACAAGTGGAAAATTTCCCTTGGGAACACATTTTGTGGTACAAAGTTGGAATTGGAAGCTAGAACTACTTCTGTTACCTAAAATCCAGGGAAGATCCCCAACAGTAAAGTAATCATTCTTACCTGGAATATTTCATCCTTATGTGACTCAAAGGAATGCAACTTCAGTTTCAGATTTCTAAGATCCCACAATGCAACTGTCTAGATATAAGAAGAAAAGCAAAGAAATAATTTCACAAAAAGGGGTAGACAAATATAAAACAAAAAAAAATCTGCATTCCCTAAAAGACCTAACAGCCTATTCAACACAGGGACTTTTGGTTCGTTCTATGCATTTAGATAAGAGAAATTAAAAACCAAACACCTTACCTTATCAGCTGATCCTGTGGCAAGAATGAACTCACTATAAGGATTGAAAGACAGACAATTTACTTCGGCAGTGTGAGCATCCACTGAGTGGCTTGGTTTAGAAGTATTGTTTGATCGTGTGTCCCAGCTATAGCCAGAAGGAAGAAACAAAGCAAAATAGCAAGTTTAAGATTACCTAAGTGTAAGTTATCTAAATGAGAGAAAATGAAGAAAAAATTAAATTCTACATACATCATAAGCTTCTGATCATCAGCAACTGATCCAAAAAGAGATTCATGGAGCAGGTGCCAAGAAACATCTTCAACTACTGCTGTGTGTCCAGTGAATATGGTCTTTGCATCCACTACTTTACCTTCCTTAGGAACTGCACTGATGTCCCACAAGCAGATGGTCTTAAAAGTAAAACAAACTTTTAGATAGAAGAGTCCTCACCACCACCCACACTCCTTGTAAAAATCCAAATTTCTAATCCCAATGTCTCACTAAGGGAGGTTTCAGGGGATGGGGAATACTCACATGATCATCTGATGCACTAAGCAAGTGTCCACTGAGATTTGGGTTCCAAGACAGGCCATAGCCCTCCTTTTGATGTCCACGGAGACGCAAGTCTGGGTTACACTCCCCAGAAGGGTCTGCAAAGGGACAAATTAGTCTTGTCACTTTGAGCCTATAATGGGCAATGGAAGGACCATGGTCCATGAAATTCACTATTTTTTTGAGAGCTTCTCTTCCAATTCAAGACCTTTACTCATTAAGCACCGCCCCCCCCAAGTAAGAACACACACAAAGTCCTTTTGGCTACAGAAAATTCTTTTTTAAACAGGAGGGAAGACTTTGTAACCACATGATGGTAAATTACGCAAAAAATAATTAGCAATTAGGTTAGATTGAAAGGAGCAACATAATCCCACAGTGAACTTTGGAGAACTTTCCTCTGGCATTAGGTATTTCTCCTTCAGTTGAACATACAAGTATGTCTATATGGAAAAGAGTATACCTGGTTTTGAAGGGTGCTTGGTGTAGTCGAAAACAAGGACATCACTGGATGGAGTCTTTGTTGCAATAATGCAAGGATTTTGGGGCATATAACGGGCCCTGTTCACTTCGCCTTCATGATTAATCTTGATTTCAATTTCAATTTTCCCACTAACTGAGCCAAAGCCACCAAATTCTGTAAATACAAGAAAAAACTAATGGGACAATGCCAAAGCAAGAAGAAATATTATACATGTGCTAATCGAGGACATAGGCAAGGCCAGCTTCAAGGTGTCCAGTATCGTATCAGAAACAGTCATGAAAATTTTACTGAATGTTAAATGTTGAAAATTAATAATCTAAAATCAAGAAAATCGCAATTTTACCACAAAAAGAAGAATTTTAAGAAATCAGATAAAAACATTTTTGAAAAGTTGTGAAATACCAGAGAAATGTCATGTATTGGTATTATTGTTAGATATTATGTCTAAAGGATACTAAGCACATGAAAATTGCTATTAAAAATTACTCTTTCCCCCAATGACTCCCAAATTACTGACAATTTTAATTGGTGTTTTCTGTTTATTTTCGATAGGTACATCAACTCACAAAAATAAGAACACTCAAATTTTTTTCTTTCTCGGGTAATTCTGCTGTCCTGAGGCAGCAAGTGGCACAATGCATAGAGGCGGTAAGGGGCCTGGAGTCAGGAAGCTGCTGTTCAGTTGTTTTCAGTCACTTCCAACTCTTTAGTGATCTCATCTGGGGTTTTCTTGGTAAAGATACCGGAGCATTTCCTTCTCCAGATCATTTTACAGATGAGGAAAATGAAGCAAACAGGGTTAAGTGACTTGCCCAGGGTAACACAGTAAGTGTCTGAAGCCAGATTTGAAATCATAAAGATCAGTCTTCTGACTCCAAATCTGGCCTCAGATACTTATTAACTGTGTGATCCTGGGCAAGTCACTTAACCTCTGTTTGCCTCAGTTTCCTCAACTGTAAAATGAGGATAATAACAGCACCCAGCTAAAATAAAAGTGCTTAGCATTAGACATAGTAGGTTCTTAATAAATGCTTATTCCCCCTGCTGGAGATAAGCAAAACTACCATAACCAAATTTACTTTCCTAACTTCCAAGTTATATATTCCTAGCTGAAATAAACCCAGTAAGTCCCAAAGGTATCAAAGTTACGTATCTTTATGGATTATTATAAATGGTTAAAAAAAGCCTTCACAAGGATAACTGCAAAAGTATCAATCTGTGTGACTTGGCAAACCAGCCATTTAAAGCTAAGTTAATGTTAATGTCAGCATGTTCACCTACTATTTCTTGTAAGTCAAAAAAAAAAAATCTATTCAAGTAAGTACAATGTTGACAGAAGGAAACTGGAAAGGAGCAAATTCAGGCTAGACATTTAGAAAGCTACACAAATTAAACATGTAAAAAGGCAGGTGGAGACAATGGTGTTGACAACAATCAAGAGTAGTCATTAAACACATTTGCTTTCAATCCAGGAGCCAAAGTTTTCACCTGTTAAGTGAAAACAAAGACAAGACCTGATCAATATACTTCAGTGCATCTCTGATCTCACTGACACAGTCACCCCTCCCACAATGGAGCACAACCTATCTGTGGACCCTCTCATACAACGAGAAGAAAACCAAAAAGGGAAAATAAGAGGCAGTAGTAGCTCCACTGAGGAATGGCTAACAAACTGTGGTACAGGAATGTAATGGGATATTATTGTGCTTAGAATAAATGGCAAATAAACATTACACAAAATGATGACAACAATGTAAAGGGAAAGAACATCCACCACAAAATAATTAAAAGTGAATGTGATGAGGATGCCCCTATCTCACACCACTTCACCAAGGTAGTCCACAGGTATAGTGCACTGCATAGATTTTCAGAAGTTTTTGATGCACTGATCAGCTTTGTTGATTTTTAAAAATATATTATTTATTATATGGAATGGCTCTTTGAGAAGGTGAAAAGTGAGGGATACTGAAACAAATTCTGGTGATGGGAAAAAAAACATCCAAAAAGATATTAAATTTTTTTTTTTAAAAGAGGCAGTCTTAATTTTTTCCCACAAGACCAGTGGAAGGCCTCCAATTCATTGGGTAGACACTCTACCAAAGACAAATTTTAAGGAATACTTTGGGACAAGCACACATATCCTTACAACCCATGCATACATATACCCTTATGAGATTAGATCAGGGACAATGGTCACTGAAACACTCCTGATGTGGGGGGGAAGGTGTGTGTGTGTGTGTGTGTGTGTCTTTGCAGAGGAATTATTTTCTTATTATTATGTAACCCAAATCCAAGTGTACAGAGGCAGCAGTTTGAGGCATACAGATGTCTCACATATTGGTATGATGACCAACCTGGATGTCCTAGCCCTGTGTGCACCCTGGATATGCCAGGCCTCAAAGTGTAGTGCTAATCCAGCATAGAATGAAGACTGCATCTAAAGGCAGAGGTGTGCCTAGGCAGAGATGCATTTTTTCTTTGGTTCTCCAGCCTTCTCTTATTTAAAATAGGGGGATTCAATTTAACAAGAATTTACTAAGTGCCTACCAAGTGGAAAACTCATGCTAGGTGCTGGAGACACAAAGGTTTTTTGTTTTGTTGTTGTTTTTTAAAGTAAGCAGGCCTTTTTTCGAAAAACTCTTATTCTACTGGACGTTTCTGGCACTGCTCGAAGCCAACCTCCCAAATCTTATTACCCCTTCCCCTCACCCTTTAGCTTCTGCTAATGTCCCATAAGATGCTTCTGTGTGACCAGTGCTCAGAAATGCCAAATAACCAGTGAACACTCAGGCCCCCGTTTTCCATCCAATATGCCATCTTTAAAAGGTCCCTTCCAGATTTAAGTCCAATGAAATGGCAATGACCATTCCACAACTTCTTACTTGTGTAAAATGTAGCCAATGAAAACAAATAAAAGTTATCGAAACTATTTTTCAATCAAACAATTTTGGGAGGTTAGTCTACAATGCAAATTTTATAGTCTATATTATTTAAGACATTTTACTACAAAATACTAAAGTTTAAATCAGTTGACTCAGCAAAGCTATCTTACAGATTTTTAGTATTCATCAAAAAAAATATATATATATACATATATGTAGTCATAAACCTTATTGATCCCTTGTCTATAAAGTAAAGACTTTTTAGGGAACAGGATCATACCCGGGTGCAAATTTACTAAATAGCTGTTAGTTATCTAAAACAAAGTAGAATTTAGAGACTTAACTCAAGTTCCTCAATCAAGCCAAGAAATTGAAAAACTGACAGCCTAGGCTCAGAGTTCCTTGTTATATATAAGATCTCCAAAAAACAAACAAACAAACAAAAAAACCCCAAAACAAAAACCAGACAACTTGACATTTTTTTTTAGAAGAGAAAAAAGCTTTAAGGTGAAAAATAATTCAATACATCTCAAATAAGATGCAATTAGTTAAAGACAATGGTTTTCCTAACGAGGTATATGGTGAAATTTAAGCATTTCAATTTGAGCATCAACAGTGCGCTGACGCTGCCCTCCCATCAAGTAAAAATTGTGATAGATTTTCATTCTAAACTTAAATTGTAAACCCATTAGCCCAAGTCCTTCCTTAATTCATTAACAAATGGAAAGCATTCTGAAACTACCATTTCTGATCGCTTCAGTCTTTTCATTCCCCGTCTTAGATTCTTTGTTCCATACCCAGGGATTTTGTACCTGAATAAACCTCTTAGGGTAGTGACATTATTAACTCTGTATTCTCAAACAGGAACATAAAACATTAACATTATGTTTATGCAAAAGTCTTATAGATATATGAAGAAACAAGGTCACCTCAACATTACAGATATTTAACTTAGTCACAAACTAAACAGGCTACAATGCTTCAAAAGGCAATTCTATCAATGAACTACCAGCCAACTTATACACCACAGACAGTCTTTAAAGCTCTCCAAGTCTCAAAATACTTTGATGTATTTAAATTATTCAACTACTGAACTTAACTGCTTCAAACCGGAAAAAAAATTAGGCCAGTCTTTTTTAAAAGTTGTAATTGTAATTGCAAGGGTATATAAGAAAAATGATAATATTCAAATATGTAGTTAACTTTAACTCTCTGGAATGATAGAGCAGAGGCCATGCTCATTTAAGTGTATAGTTTCCTATGTGATTATTGCAGACATCTATTAAGTTATTTTTGTTTGACTGACAACTTTTTTTCGGGGGGCTAGTCAATAGGGTTAAGTGACTTGCCCAAGGTCACACAGCTAGTAAGTGTTATATGTCTGAGGCCGCATTTGAACTCAGGACCTCCTGACTCTTGGGCCAGAGTTCTATCCACAGCACCACCTAGCTGCCCCTGACAAAATTTTTTAAACTAAATACCACTTCCAAAATTAACATCTTTATTAAATCAATTTAACAAATGTTCACTGTAGAAAATGTTGAGGGTATATCACCAAAAATACAGAGCATACATCTTAAATTTCTTACATACATAGAAGAGGATATACCTCATTTAAATACCTGTTTATCAGCATGTAATACCACCAACTCGAAAAATGTTCCATTAAACTCACTGCTATCATAACTACTTAAAATCACTACTATTAAAATTCTGGAACCAACAGTTGCTCAAGTAATTGTTTCTTCAGTGTTAATGGTCACTGACAGTCAAAGATCAAGGCATCCTACTTTAACTGTCTTCCAGAAAAATAAAACTTAATTTTCTTTTGATAATAGCATATAATTTCTTTCCAATGACAAAAAGGAAGTTACACAGCTATGCCATACTCCACGTTTTTAACATAAGGAAATAGAATGGCAACATTCACCTTCTTTTCTTTAAATGTTACTGCTAAAGAAATCTTACTACTCTTCAAAAATACTAAAATCTATAAATGGAAGATTAATTTTTCAGCTACAAATCACAAGAAAAGATGACTTTCCACTTAATGTTCAAAATTTCCATTTTGATAGTAATCGGCTCAGATTTATAAGGGTTTAATCCATTTTTTAAAAATTGCTACTATTTACTGCACAATGAATGAATAAAGTGGGAAAAGTGCATCAAGGTAAAAACTGAGAAATGAGATATTCAAGAAACCTTAACATAGAAAAGAATAAAGTACACCATTTACATCAGCAGACTCCATTTTTTACTATCATCACAGGG